GTGGATAACTGAATCGGGATACAGCTAATTTAAATCATTTATGACTTAGTTTTCTTGTTTTCTCTGATGGCTTCGACACAGCTAAATAAAGCATTTTCATGGCCATTTATGGCTACAAAGGCAGAGGATAACAAAAATAAATTGCAAAGACATTTTTGGAGGCCTATTAGCCATCTAGAATTTGCAAAAATTGTCATAAAAATAACCATCGGTTTTAGACCTTAGGTCCTTTCTGACGAAATTCGTTTCAAGATATGTTTAGTCGATCTAGCCATGTCCGTCAGTCCGGGCGACTGATGCACTTGATAACTCCTGATGATTTGATCCAACTTTTCAATATTTTTATATAATTTGAACCGATTTTGAAAAGGAACAGGTAATCGATCTCCAAAAAATTAGAAAATTAAAAAAATAAATATCTAAATAAAGTTTAAGAAATTCCCAAAATGTTTCAAATGGTACAAGACAAGATTTATGCCAGACGTAGGTCGGGTGTAAAAATGGACAGTATTGGTTTTCTCCTTGTCGCATCAATCCACGATTTTCTTCAAACCTTTTACATCGCAATATTATTGTTGATATATCGGTCCTTCACTCCTACTGGTATCTACCCCACAAAAGTTAAAAATTTTGTGAAGATAGGACTTTTCGTTACAATTTTTCTGGTATCTCCAACACTAACGAACAAAATACATCTACCTATGCTAAAATTTCGGTAACCCCCTTGTACTATTTTCAATATTCATAACACTCAAAATATGTGAAGTAAATTCTTGATTATCTTAAATTCGGATGATTCCAAATAGTTTTGCCAATAGGAAATATATTGATATAGGAAATCAAGAATCAATATTAGGTCAATTTTTTTTCAAAACATAAAAAATTATATAATCCGCTTTTTTCCCAAAAATATCAAATTACAATATTGCTTCCAATGTTATAGTGGTGTTATGTTGGGGATATATAGGATACATCTAACATTTTTAAAAACCTGGATAACAGATAGGTGAAGGAATTATCTAATGACATTTCTATTCATTTTAGGCCAAATATGATTTAATTTAAGAGTATTTTTTTCGACAAAAATTTCGAATTTAGCCGGAATGATAAACGAAATCCTGGCAAAGAGACGTGGAACTTTTAATAATTATTTTAACAAATTCTGTGCGGCCAAAGCCGTAGAATTTCTAGGAACTTTTTTTAAGATTTGCAGGGAATTTTTCTGAAAAAAATTATCGATATTTTTTTTTGAGAATATTTTGTAAGAGCATATTCATAAATCTTCTGCTAATAAACGGTAATTGTGATAATATTTTAGAACTTGCTGGTTTATCGTGGCTTTTTCATTACAACTAATTTTTGCAAGACTATACTGCATATAGGCGTATATAAATGGATCATATCTTGAGGACAAATATCTGTCAATAAACTAAATCATTTTTCCTGACTTGTTACAACACTGTGTTGTGAGGGTATTATAAGTTTGATTATACCAAAAGTTTGTAACACCACAAAATAATAGTTCCAGACCCACCCTGTAGCCGAATCAATCTAGCTATGTGTGTTCGCCCTTTCTTTTATCCGTCTATACATTGTAATATGTAGTTCCTCTGAAGATTGCAATTTTGGTCTAATCCTAAGGAAATTTCGTAAGGAGCTAAAGTTAGGGTCAGATTTTATTTTGTATTTGGGGATAATGGGAACCAAAAATTGAATTTTTGCTATATTTTTCATTTGCTCTATAGTTCATGATTCTTGGCAAATCCATGTCAAATATAGCAATTTGTCCTAGAGTTTAGGACAGAATACTAGAATTTTGGGATAATATTTATGGGCCATAATATTTAAGTGAAAAATTGTAGGATTTACATTTAAACGCGAATATTATAACAAAAAAAAGTAAGCAAATGCTATAGTCGTGCGTGGCCGACCATGTGATACCCTACAACACTACAATTTGTTAGAAGCCCCCTTATGTCCGAATCCATTTTGGAATATTTCACTTTTGAAATTATATCATGAAGCACTGCCCAGATATTACCCTTAGCGTTTTGAACAAGGACATTTTCCCAATATTTACGCACTCCATCATGCTGTTAGTTGTTGTGGTCCATTTTACAGCTACATATACCGATGGTTAGCCAAAATGCTAGAATTCTTCATAAACAAGCCAGAAGTTCACCTTTTGTGTTTTTCGGATATCGCCTGTAAGTAATGTTGGTATTTTTACACACAAAAGTAGTGGTCCATTCTACCCGCTGTCCCAAACTCTGACTTCATGCGAGATTTCCTTTGGATTCAATTTGTTAACTTTATAAAGGCTGCAAAATCAGGAACATTTTTAGTTGTTGGTCCATTTTAACCCCTAAAAATATTATTGAAAACAAAAAGCCTAGCCATTCTGAGCCTAACCCTACTTTTTCGTGAAGATAATTGCAATCTGTATATAATAACCCCAACCTGTGTTGTAAAATGAAAAAATATTACAAAATGTAAAATGTAATATTATAAATCAAATTGAAAAAATCGCATGCGATAAAAAATATGAAAAAATAAAAAATGTCACAAAATACTACAAAATCTATATTAACATCATTATAGGCAAATTTTTATGCGATTTTTTAGATTTTATACTTTTATGTTAAGAGGGCATTCTGAATTGACAAAATTTGTCGAAATCGGTCTAGCCATTCTTGAGATATAAACATTCTAGCTAACATCCCCTTCCTTTCTATATATACATTGCATATATTTCGCTATATACATCCGATATATTTACTATCGGCATCTACGTAACGGTCAGACTTGACCCGTTCGTCTATTTGGGATTTCGCCGGGATTAAAAATATTCGCGGTTTATTAGAAAATTTGACTTTTATATAACACAAATGTTATGGTCTATTTCACCCACTAAATATTACCCGATCACCATCAAAATTGGAAGGCTTCTGCCCAGCCCTAAGTTCTAGCCCCATGCTAACTTCCGCTTCGATTGGTCTATAATTGCGACCTGTAGAGCAGCTGCAAAATCATAAAATTTTTCAGTTTTTGGTCCATTTCAACCTAAATATTATGCGATCATCTCCAAAAGCAATAGGGTTCTATTCTGGCCCAAACCCCACCTCCATTCTAAATTTCGTGAAGATCGGGCCATAATTGCGACCTGTAGAGTGATTACAAATTAACATGGACAGACGGACAGACGGACGGAAGGACATGCTAGATCGACTCAGCTCGACGAGATAGAAAGATCCATATATACTTTCCTATGTGGGAAACCAATATTTCGTGGTATTACATATTTTTTGGCCCAATCAAACTTATAATACCCCCAACACATAGTGTTGTAGGGTATAATAAGAAAACACGAAGAATTTGCGATTCACATAAATGTTGTTATGCAACAATGTGCCCAACTATTTGGGCTTGATATTATACTATTCAGGCAAATTGGAAACGATCTTTATAAAATCTAGCAGAGGTATTTAAATGTTGTAGCTGGTTGCTGAGAAGAAATTTGGATGTTGTGGGGAGCATGTTACGGGTGTGAATGACTTAAAAATAAATTGGATGAAACAAATATATGAGACCGATTTTCACAAAATATGATACACTTTCATCCAGGATGAATTCCTACGTATGTACCAAAATCCATTCAATTCCGGCTTATCTTAACCATTTGGTGCACATTGAAGTTGAAATCGAGTGAAAGTATATATTGGAGCTATAGCCAAATCTGAACGATGTCGATAAAATTTGGCTAAGGTATTTCTAAGCCATATTTGATCACATGTGCCAAATTTCAACCTATTTGAACTTATATTACATATTTGATGGAAAATAAAACCTAAATCGGAAGAGGATATATATGGACGCTATATCTCAATTTCGACCAAACAAATGATTTGTGCAAAATTTCATCTCGACAGGACAATAAATTCGACCGGTACTTTGTTTACAAAAATACGTAGACAGACGACCAGACGGACGGACATACATAGATCGATTCAAAATGTGATTCTATGCATATCATCAAAAGGAACTACGGGTCTATCTCGAGTCCTTCTCTATATTAAAAAAAAATCACAAATACCTAATACCCACAGACCACAGTGTGGTGTAGGGTATAAAGAGAACGATTGCTACTTTGGCCGTATGACATACCCATGCTAAAAGTAGGGATTGGGTTTCTGTTTGTAATCAGTTACTGCTCCTTAAATTTACTTAGTAAACTCATTATTTGGTAATGAGATTTTTTGGCGGATGTCTTTGTGAGAAAATATTATTGGTACCAGGTAAATGAGGATTATTCGAAAGGAGGACTAATCGATTAATCGCATCTGTTTTTAAATTAACACTGTACTTGTAACCCCCAACAATCGAGAGTTAAAAAAAGCTAACCTTGATTGATTTGGAATTATTTTTAGGTAGTCATATTATGTATCCTAATATTTTGAGGATTTCAAATCCACAGAAAATTTACGCCAAACTTTCGACTTTTTAACTTATTAATTTATAAAAGGGAAAAAATCCTTAGTTTCTTTTTTCGGCCTGAGACTTTTCAGATCACGTGTGTTGTTTTGTGTTTTTTACTTTTTGTATTTTATTTACTATTTTTTCCTGTTGTAAAATTAAGTTATTTTTTTTATTGGATCAATGGAATACATCTGTCACAAAATTGTAGTACACGAGCACATCACTAATACTATCAATGATTGGAAGCCTGAATGGCAGTCCAAATACTTCAGTGAAACAAAATACACTTCAAATCAATTTGAAAACTATTTTTTATAATTGTTGGTTATTGAATTAAGCCTGACGACCGATTTCGGTTATAGCGCTTATTTTGAAAATTTAAAAATTGTTGCAAACATTTTTCATATTTTCTTTTTTCATAACTTATGTCCATTAAAGTTTTCCATTTTTTGATTAAAAAAAATTCGATTATCAAAAACAAAAAAAAAAAAAAATTAAATCAAATGAAGACACTTTTTACTCACACCCACGCACACATAGAAAACACTCAGAGACAGACAGGGGAACCATGCAATGGAAAATGTGGGGAGAGGGGAGATTGACAGTTTGGCGGGAGGTAGGTAAAGACACTGCTGCAGCCTCTAAAACACCACACCACCAGATACCACAAAGAACCAAAAGAAGGCCAAAGGCAAAACACCAATGTTTGGCTATGGTGTTGTTATGTTGTTGTTGCTATTTTTTTGTTGATGCAGAGGTCTGCTGCTGGTGTTTCGCTATTCTGGAGATAACTGCTGTTATCAAAATAGATGATTGGATGGCAAAGCGAGGGGATGGAGATTCCAAGGGTTCGTATTTGTTGTTGTTGTTTTTTTTTTTAATACATAATTTCAGGTATCTTCTTTTTTTCAATATTTGTGTTTTTTTTTTTAAACGTAATTTTGTGGTAACACTTTTTCACAATTTTCCTTTTTCCAAACACATTTCACATCGCATTTTTTATATTGTTTATTTTTAAAATATTTGTTGTTGTTGTTTTCGTTTTTTCTTTAAATATGTTTCTTATTTTTTATTAAAGTTATTTTTGTTGTTTGTTTTTTTTTTTTTTTTCTATCTCCGTTGGCTTTTAAATCATTTAGAGACAATTATTTGTTGGTGTTGTTTGGATATTTTATCTTTTGGGACGACGATAACAACAACAATGAGGAGAAGAAGGCAACACGGCAACGTACCACGACTGCGACGACGACAAAAGTGACAACAACGACAATGCTCCGATGGTGATGATGATGATTTTTCTTCTTCTTCTTTTTATGTCAAGTATTGTTGTTATTATTGTTTTATTCTATTTTATTTCATTTCATTTGTTTTTTTTTTTTGCTTCGATTCTAATCTTTCATCTCTCTTTACTTTATATCTTAATTGTGTTGTTGTTGTTATTGTTGTTCTGGCTACCGTTATTATGCCTCTGGCCACCGAAAAAAACAGAAAAAGTGAGGGTGTTTTGTTTTTATTATTTCTATACGCGTGTGTATCTGTGTGTGTGTGTGTGTGTTTTTGTTTTTGTATTTGAATTTTCTATTTCAGTTTTTTTTTTTCTCTTTGCTTCGTTTTTATTTTCGTCTTCTAACGCCGGCTGCTCCAATGAAACTGAAATATTTTCCATGCGAACAAATGCTTTTATAAACTTTTCGCCAACGAAACCAAATTGCCTTGCTCTTCGACACACACAGCAGCAGCGGCAGCAGCTGTGGATATGGGTCATTCCATGGACACGAAGTGGGCTATCATAGGAAAAATTAGCTTGGAAAGAGCATCTATCCATCTACCCTCCAAAGGAAAACAACAACACTAACGGTGGCACATTTTGCAGACGCCAAACAGCTGTAGTCGCTGGCGCAAGGTGAGAGAAATGCTCTTCTTCAAACAACTGCAAAACAAAGAGATGGGGACTTTCTCTTTTATCTCTTCACGAAGAGAATAACACTTTCTCCAACACTTTCTCTCATCCTGTTAAGAGATTTTTTTTTTTTTTTTTGGCAGAAGAATAGTTGGTTCTCCAACTGTTTTTAGGGATTTTGGATTATTTCCGACCAATTCAGAAATGTTTTGGTACTTCCGACCAATGACCAAGTTTTAGGAGAAATATTTAAGAACAGTGTTTGACTTGTTTGTTCGTTATACCATAGTATTTTGTTGTTGCAAAATGGTTAGGCTTAATCACTTTATTGTTGTTTTTATACCCGCCACCACAGTATGAAAGGTATATTAAGTTTGTCATTCCGTTTGTAACACACATTTTAGACCTCACAAAGTATACATATTCTTGATCAGCATAAAATTCTATGTCGATTTAGCGATGTCCGTCCGTCTGTCCGCTGTCCGTCTTTGGAAATCACTCTAGCTTCCGAACGAATTGAAGTAAATTGATAAAATTTTGCTCAAATGTATGTTATGTCTTCAGGACTTTTGGTATTGTGAATGGACCATGTAGGTCCACGTTTTGATATAGCCCCCATGTAACGGTACCTCCCGATATTCGGTATTTTGATGATTTCAGCAAATTTATACACCGGAACTGTTTCAAATTTGGTATTTAAAGTTCAAAATGGATACTACATCCTAAGACAGAAAATGAGCCATGCAGGTCCACGTCTTCGTAAAGTCCCCATATAACGGTACCTCCCGAAATTCGGTATTTTGATGATTTTAACGAATTTATTCACCGGAATTGTTTCAAATTTGTTTTTTGAAGTTCGTAATGGGTACTTCTGTCTAACACAGAAAATCGTCTGTGCAGGTCCACGTCTTCGTATAGCCACCATATAACGGTACCTCCCGATATTCGGTATTTTGATGATTTTAACGAATTTATTCACCGGAATTGTTTCAAATTTGGTATTTAAAGTTCGTAATGGATACTACAGCCTAAGACAGAAAATTGTCTGTGCAGGTCCACCTCTTCGTTAAGCCCCCATATAACGGTACCTCCCGATATTCGGTATTTTGCTGATTTTAGCGAATTTTTTTAGCAATTTTGGTCTTTGAAGTTCATAATGGATACTACGGCCTAAGACATAAAATTGTCTGTGCAGGTCCACGTCTTCGTAGAGCCCCCGATATTCGGCATTTTGATTTTATCGGCATTATAACCGATTTTTTTAAGTTTCGCATTTGAATATTGTAATGGCTTATGACATATGTTACCTACACAGGTTCATGTCGTCGTATAGACCCTTATATAGCAGCTACATTCGGTATTTTTAAGATTTTGACACAATTTTTAACGGATTTTATTGTTTTTAAGAATTGCCAAATTCGTTCCAAATGGTGGAGGGTATTCAAAGTTCGGCCCGACCGAACTTACAGCTTTTTTACTTGTTTATAAAAACAACGTTTGTTT